AAGCCACCAAGAAGTGGAAAGTACATGAGAACGTGAAGGAGTTGTAGCAGTTCCTAGGCTTCGCCAACTACTACAACAGGTTTGTGTCGCAGTATGCTAAGATATTAGCGCCACTTAAAAACTTACTGAGAAAATAAACGCCTTATAAATAGGATACTCCTCAACACCAAGCCATGGAGCAGCTACAGACAGCACTGACTAATGCCCTAGTACTTATCCTACCGGACCCAGACAGTACATTCATGGTGGAAGCAGAGGCTAGTGACCAGGCCGTCGGAGCAGTACTAATGCAGTATCACGGACACTATTTGCAGACCTCTCCTGCCTCGCTCCACTCACTTGCCTCCGCCACCTGTTACACCCCTCTTCCCTTTCCCTCTTTCTCATCTCTGCTTGGCCTCCCTTCTCGCTCTGCCAACACTTGGGAATCACACTGGCTTGGGAATAACAATGTCTTGGGAATCACTCCTCACAACCCTCCCATCCTCGCCCGTGCACTTCTTCCCTGCCCCACCGTCAACCCCGTGGCCCCCTTTTCATCAACCCACTGCACGTATCTAATACTCCCCCCATCCCCATTACCCCCAGCGCTCTTTGAAGTCTTGACCGCACGCCCTGCCCACTCCCACCTGCTCTCTCCAGCCTGTAAGTTGACACACCTGTAAGCTCACACACCTATAAGCTCACACAAATGTAGACTTGTTATAATAATCACCCAAGGATCTGTTTCTGTATGTGCGCTGCTTTCTCATGCCTTCTTTTGTTGCAAAATGTTCCTCTAGCCCCCTCTTTCTTATCTCTCTCCCCCCCTCCCTCCTCTCACGCGGAGACGTTCAGTTCCTCCCAGCCAGCAGCCTGACCTCATGGATATCCACCCTCTACTTGCCCAAATGCCTGTTTGTGCCGCCATCCTCACATGCCACCACACATGCCGTCTCCTCATTGTACTGCTCCTCTACATCGCATTAGCCTCGCCGTCATCTATTCATCCCTCTCTTGTGCACGGACCGAGCATTCTCTCAGCATCTTGCCAAGTGTACCTCTTCTTTCATCGATGTGTGGTTTGTGATTGAGTCAGTAAGGTGATTCACTGTGGCTGCTCATGGTGATGCCACTTTGCACTACTCCTTCTCCCCCTCCTTCCCCTCCCCTCGCTCCCCCTCCACCCCCACCCCCCCTTTGCTTTTCAACTAATTGGACCGCTCCGTGCCTTCCCCAACCCTCCTGCCCTTTACCGCCTTGCAGGGACCGGCAACTTTAGCATACACCACTCTGCACCGTTCCCCACGGACTGGATGGCGCCCACGGGGCTGGACACTCCATAAGCCATCACTGGGTCAAGAGCCCCTCATCGTGCTTTGATACCTTCAACTGCTAAGCTCGCCCTTAGAAGGATTGACTCTTTAAGCTGTTGAGCCGACCATTCACAGTGATTTCTCCCACCGTTCCATTATTGATTGACCGCTGTCCCACTCTTCCCAAATTCCTTGCTCACCAGCCATTAGTGCGCCCTCCCCTCCTATCTCCCTTCCATCTTCCACCTCCAGGCAAGCCGGTCTGAATGGCTTCACTGGCTCTATCCCATCCACCATCTCCGCCCTCACTGACCTGTACATGTCCCTTCTTGCTCTCTCAGCCTGCCTCCCTCCCACTTTCTCATTGCGAGTCACTCTTCACCTCCCTTGCCTCGCCCTCGTTGGTGTCAACTCTGCAAGGGCATCCATTCATGGATCAATCCACAATGATCATCTAATAATGTCTAAGCGATGGATGGTGGCTAGGCAATGGATGGTGGATAAGTCGATCCACATTGACCAATCCACAATGTCCAACCCATTCATGTTTCATCCCATCTAACCCTGTGTGTGGTTCCCCTGTCCCTTGTACGTGCAACAGCGAGCTCTACTACAGCATCTTAGGGACCATCCCTGCTGTCATTGCCAACCTTTCCCTCACCTACATATGGGCCCTCCACTCCTGCCTCCTACCCACCCACTTGCTCTCACGTGATTGGAACTCTCACTCCCTCCTCTTGCCCTCCTTCTGCTCCTCTTCCCTTCCCCTTTCTCTTCTTACTCTTCGCCCCTTCATTCCCTTAATCCATCTCTGGCTGCCCCCGCTGCATCGAACCCTCCCCCACCCTCTCCCCCTCCTTCCCGTCCATCCGTTTCCGTCACCACATGGCTGGTATGCCCCACACCACATGGCACCACATTGGTACCACATGGCACCACATGGGTACCACATGGCACCACATTGGTACCACATGGCACCACATGGGTACCACATGGTACCACATGGGTACCACAAGGCACCACCTGGGTACTACTTGGCACTATATGGGTACCACATGGCAGCACATGGGTACCATATGGCACCACATGGGTACAAATGGCACCGCATGGATACCATATGGCACCACATGGGTAGAAATGGCACCGCATGGGTGCTACATGGCACCACATGGATACTACATTGGTATGCTGTCTGAGGAGCTTATGGTGAGAGGTGGAGAATTTGCAGCACGGCGAGGCAACGCCGCCAGCTTGAACAACCGGTGCCTCATCGGTCGTCAGGCTAAGTGGCTTGTGAGGCTCACCGCCCCGTACACGTGTCGGTGACTCGTTAAGCGGATCCTAAGTCCCTAGCATGCCAGTTTTGGTGAATGAATTGCGATTTAAGTTTCCCGTATCACTCTGGCACCAATCACCCTCCTATGGTGTGGATTTCCTGGTATTCTACCAGCAACAAGGACACAATATGTTGACTATAGAGGGATGGCGTGCAGGGTGTTGCGTTGACGCACACAAGGCTGAATGTGTCCTGGCTAGACATCGGGAGGAAGGTCGCTCGGTTACTACACGCATCACATTGTGCGTGAGCAAGACAATATCAAAGCACGTCTTTGCACCAACGGTCCTTGCCGCGCAAAGAGGTAGCCATGAGTCAAGGCATATGAGCACTGGCCAACCTTGCCACGCATGCAAGAACGGACCCACTCTTCACTTTACTTGACAGGATCTCATATCACTACTATGCTACCACCTACTTGTTTCCCACCCTCTCCCCCCCCATCTTCCCCCCTTTCATGTTTGGCATGCATCTGTCCCCAACTGGTTTGTCTCAGGAAGCTGGGTAACAACGGTCTTGAGGGGTCCTTGCCTGCGTGCGTTGACCATGTACAAGGTCAAACGTGAGCTGTGTTGGTAAATTTATACAATAAATTGACTTATTTTATTTCCAACATAGCTCCACTCTTTATCTCCTTTCTTCCTTTCCCTTTTTCCCTTCCTGTTTTCTCCATTCCTCCATTATCCCTGCTCCTGTCTCCATTCTCCCGTTTTCCAACCCCTCGCCTCCAGGAACCTCGCTGGCTCGGGGCTGACGTGTCCTTTAGACGGCAGCGAGTGTGGGGTGCACCATTGCTACAGATCCTCCTTCTGCCGCATCTGCTTCTCCTCGTGCTCCTCCTGCACGCCCCGTGATTGTCGGTTCTGTGCTGCCTTAAAGTGAGCCAAATGACATTAGCATGAAAAGATCATGGTGAAAGTATATGGTTTGTGCATGGATGGATGGCGTGTGTGGTGTGGGAAACAAGTTGCATTGCATGCACATACCGAGATCGTATGGAACATTCAGCTGAAACTGAATGCCTTTCTTGCGTGTGCACCATGCATCGATCAATATGCAACGTGCACTGTGGATCCACCCCTGCCCACACTGCAGTGTCGGTGCCCACCACCCCACCAGTAGCTTCCCAAGCGGCATCTCAGTCCTCCCACACAGCTTCCTCAACCTCAACTCCCACATCCACAGCTATTCGTTCCAAGCCACGTGCTGCCACCATCAGCCTTGCTCTTGTTGTTGATGTCGCTATTTCTCTGATAGGAAGAAACTGACCTCCCAAGGGCTTCAGTGCAGTCCCTCTGTGAATCGTTGGAGTAGGGAGAGCGATTAAAGTTGGATCGTGTTGCTACGATTTGCACAACCCCGTACTACCGGTATGCTCGGCGTTGCTCAGTTTGCCTCTCTACTGCCTGCCTCTCTTCCTGTCCTTACTGCTCAAAATTTTGGCATTGTTCTTCTGTTCATCAGAAGGTTTATTCCAAGAGTAGTGTGTTTCACTCCAATCCATTCTCCAAGAGTACCAGTTGGTTTTTATGCAATGTTGAACCAGACGCTTCAGCAGGCGCAAACGAGCTTCATTAGTAGAGCTATAACTGAGATACACATGGGTCATAACGTGCCACTGCTTACAGGACTGGAAAAAACAAAAGAGGAGCAAACGACAATAAATACCAACCATGCCTACAAATAGAGGACTAAAGATTGCAACCACAACGAGGGGTGACAGCCTGTCACACTTTTTTGGTTTTGAGCAACCCTTGTGATCAGTGTTGCACCTATTCAACAACCTGATTATCAGTGTGACACCTTGTTCAAACCCTGATCCATCAGTGTTTTTCTTGTTTTTGAAAATCCAACTTCGTGGCATCAGTGTACCAGTTCAGCAAACCCTGGTGAGCCAGGTTTCCTGCTAACCCGATTGCGTTGTCATGTCAGACAAAGACCGAGTTGAGTCAGTGGTGTTGTTTATAATGCTACTGTATTTCTGGCCAATGGTGGCCCACTTCGTGCCAGCACATGTATTGTCGAGGCTGAAATTCCGGTTTCGAACGTTGGCAATCGGGAATCCTGGGTTACGGGAAAGGGGGGGTGGGGGAAGCGGAGGTGGGGGAGTATGGTACTCGCTTCAACGTGAAACTCGTTATGAAGAACGGTAACCCTGAGGCATCAGTGTGCCTTACATGTTAACCCTGGCATATCAGGAAAATCCTAGCTCCACAAAAAAATACCCTAGGCCATCAGTGTGACTACCAAAAACGACCCTGATAATCAGGGTATCAGGGTGATTTACACTGATAAAATTAGCCCTGGTGACAGGTCTGTGGGGGACGGAGGCCATAAGGTAGTTGTAGCAACACCAGCAAGCTGGCTGCTCATGCTACAGCAGAGCCACGAGGGAGAGCGTTTGCTAAGAGGAGGGGTACTGCGCAGAGCACACACAAATGCGAGAAAATGAGGAAGGTTAAACATGTGGGTCAAAGAGCGGCTGCACCCATAGTAGTAACCATCTCGTACGCACACAGCACAGCACATCACAACAAGCACACAGTCATATAGCTACATACACAGGAGATTCAGCGGCAAGAAATGAGTGGGAGAAAAAAGGAGAAGAGAGTGGAGGCAGCGCTCACCTGCAGGAGCCTTGCTCTGTGATTTGCTCGGGGGGGGTGACCCAACAGGTGGTGCTGGAGTGCCACTCGCCGCACTCTTAGATACATCCTGCCCACCGCTGCTGCTGCTAGACACAGCAACAGCAGGAGCACTACCACCCGTGGCAGCGCTGTCATCGGGCTTCCCACCAGTCGTAGTGCCATTCGTGCCGGTGCCGTTTGCGCTGTCGTTAGCAACGCCACCAGGTGCCATGACAGGCATGGCAATGGGCATAGGCACAGCACCCTCTCCTCCTCCTGCGCCGCCCTTCAACACGAGCAAGTCGCGGAAGTGGGGAAAGAGCACTTCATCCACACCATGCACCACGACACCAGTGCTGTCCATCAGATCAGCCCGCACCACCCGAGCCACGTTCATGTCGCTGCCAGCTTGCTCCCACATGGTATTAGAGCCTGCCGCCCAGGCAAGGGAGGAGGCGTTTGCGGAGATAACTACTACAACGGGAGCTAGACTACGGGCTAGGCACGGGTGCTCGTGTGATCTCTGCGTTCGTTGGTCCTTAGTCGTTTTCCTAGTGCATACACAGCTTGCTAGTTCACAGGGAGAATTGGCAAGAGTTTCACTAGAGAAAGTTGACAACAATGGTACAATGAAGTTGGCATGGCAAGACTACATCAGAGCTAGCATTCAGGTCGGCCAACTGCCAGCGCAGCATGGTCGACCGCGTTCCAGCACGACTTGGTCGACCGCGCTCCAACAGTGCAAAGTCGACGGCATGCCAGCGTCGCAGGTTGACGGCGAGCCAGCGCTGCTCCCGCAGAACAGCAGCGCACCTACTTCGCAGGTGCTTGCAGATGATTGGCGGGCTAAGCCTCGTCACCTGCACAACGCACACACCAGGTCATCCTCGTGCTGACGGCTCCACCTGATCCGCCACGTCGACCTCGGGATACCACCCCCGAGGTCGGACTCGCCAACTTCGCCTGGGCGAACGTCGCACTCCTTCGTAGAACCTCGTCACCCAGGTAACCTGGCCGACCGGGCAACCACGTCGACCAGCTGCTCCTGTACGTGCCCGTCGACCTCCCAAGTCGACGACCACACCAAGTCGACCTCACCAGGTCGACCACTCCTCTGGTCGACCAGCTCCAGGTCGACGTCACTCCTGGTCGACCAGCTCCACGTCGACCAGCGCAGTTGTCAGCCGACCACCCAAGTCGGCTACCCAAAGTCGGCGTCACCAAGTCGACGCCCCTTCTACGTCGGCGCCGACTTCCAGACTGACCTCTTGAAGTCGGCGACCTCCCAAGTCGGCGACCTTGCAAGTCGGTGACCTTGCAAGTCGGTGACCTGACAAGTCGGTGCCGACTTCCAAGTCGACGTGCCATATCGCCGACCACCAGTTGAAGTCGGCCGCCGGCTTCCCAAGTCGGCGGCATTGCAGTGGCCTCGTGCAAGTCGACAAACCCCGTCGACCAGCTCGCCCAAGTCGGCGTCGCCCACTGCTGCAAGTCGGATGTACCTTCCGTACACCTTACCACGAAGTCGGCTCCGCCCAAGCGTGGACGGGGCCAACAGACATCTCCCGTTGACAGCGTTGACCCAGGCGAGGTACTCGCTAGCTGTCACGTTCAGCCCCAGCACGGCCCCGTTCATCCACTCCGTTGCATTCCCCCACCACTGCTGCTGCGCATCCGTGCTCCAGTTTCCCCAGTCGCCTTCAATGCCCCACCCACCCATGACCCCCGGGGCTGGGTCCACCAGGATGTTGGGGGGCAAATCAGCAGGGGCGGGAATGGCGATGACGGGGGGCACATCAGCGGGGCCGGGCACGGCGGTGGCAGGGGGCATAGCAACGGAGGCGGGCATGGCGTTGGCGGGGGGCATATTGGCAGGGCCGCTGCCCGTCATCTGGGGGGTCTCCATCATCATCTGCGCGCCAGCCACGCCGCGCGGTGCCGCCGAGCCGTCGCCGTTGGAGGGAGGTGACGAGACGGTGGGGGGCAGGGGGATGCCCGTCCCATCGATGCCGTTGGTGCTCACAACGGTGCCATTGGCGCCGACGACGGTTCCGTTGGCGAAGTATGTGTTGCCCTCCGAGTCTACGGCCACGGGGCTCATCGCGGGGTCAAAGATGACTGTGCCGTTGGCCGCCACGGTGGTGCCATTCGGGTAGTATACGGTGTCGTCGTACCCCACGCTTATCCCCTCGCTAACCATCGCGCGCTGCGCCAGCGAGTACGCGTTGAGCAGCGCGGCGGATTGGCTAGTGTTGTAGTTGATCCACAGCCCCTGCCCGTCCACCGTCGTCAGGTTGCCGGCATTCGCCATGAACTGCGCCGCGATGGCCGCCGTGTTCAGCGCCGTGGTCGCCAAGTGGTACGCGATGAGGTCTGACAGAGCCTTCAGCGCCTGGGGCCGCTCCTTTGCCAGCGCCGCCAGCGATGCGAGCGTCCCGTCGCCGAAAAACATGGTGCTCAGTGCGACGAGAAGCGGGTTGAAAGTCAACGGGTTCAGGTTTGGCACCATCGTCGCGCTCGCACCGCCGCTAGCGCCTCCCGCCGTGGGGGCAACGCTGGGCGCTGGGGTTGGCTGCGCGGGGCTACTGGAATTGGCAGCGTCCCGCTGTTCCCCGGACTGCCCGTACTTCCAGGGGTCTCGCCACCGACGGTGGCAAAGGGGAAGGGAACGCTGAGGTACGGCAGATCGAGGCCGTGGAATGCGGCGCGCCACGCGGCATCGGTGGGCATGAAGAGAGTGAGCGGCGCGAGCACGGGCAGCTTGGCGAGCAGCCCGGTGGCATTGAGGACGAGCAGTGTCACGTTGAATGACTGCGCTGGCGACGACGCGCTTGACAGCGCCGCCGCTATCGACGACGCCGCGGGACCCTGCGCGCCGCGCACGGCGCACGGCGCGGAGAGCACGATGGAAATGACGAGGCACAAAAGCGCTGCGTGCGGTGCACTCTTGGTTGCCTGGAGCTTAAGGGGAGAGCGAAGGAGTAGCATGTTGGGCGAGCGAAGAGAAAGAAGCGAATGGATGAAAGAAAATTGATAGTGAATGCGAGGTTGTACGTTTCTTGCCCTCACTTTTCGGCTGCTTTTTAGATTCCCGGCACAAGAAGAGCAGAGGCACAAATACACGTACTAGTGTGCTTGTGGTATGGGTTGATGAGCGAGCAGGGATGAAACTGGAGGGCAACCCCGGGGAGCATGAAAAAACGCTTCTTCCGCTCGCACGTGGCACGGCCCATGAACAAAAGAGATTATTCGCCGCACCAGCACGCGCTTCGCCCGCACCACCACGCCACACTACCACGGGCTGAACGGAGAGGCGGAAGGAAACACTGCAGCGGGAGTGAGGAGCCGTGCAGGAAAAGGTCGAGCGAGAAGGCGCGAAGAAGGTGCCCGTCTTCCATGCCTATGGCTACTTGGCGTTGCATACTTGGCTATGGCTACTTGGCCTTTCAGGACTAAGCGTTGTTCTGTAGGCGTTATTGTTTCGTACAAATTGGCCGTTATTGCTTCTGAGTCGATGCGCTGCGTGGATCTTGCCATAAGGACCCGTCAACTCCCACCACATTTGTGCGATCGACCATACGCAGGATCGTATTTTCAACAGGTTTTTAAGAAGGCCTAAAAGTTTGGGACGCTAATAGCAGGATTCAGTGCGGTGATTGATCAAATTTCACGATCGATCGCCGAAAATTTTAGGAGTTGACGCATCCTGAAGGCCCTGTTCGACACGACCACCGCGCCGGTTCGGCAGCACACGGTTACCGAACCGGCTCTCTTGAAAACCGGTTAGGTTCGTGTCGAACCCCCAAGCGTCTGTACAGGCTCGTGGTCAACAATTGGCCGTTTCTGTGCGTTACAATATGGCTCAATAATTACTAAACGACAATAAAACTGGGGAATTGTATACAATGTTTCACAGCTGGTACTGATTTATATGCCGAAGATTAGGGGGCCCAAGAAAAAGCGGCGCAAATAACTTTGACAAACCCGAACCGATTCGCCGAAAGACCAGTTTGGTTTTGACGAACCAGAGCTGAAGAGTTTCAGTTTGTTAAGAGCCGGACTTATCGATCGGAATTGACAAATGATGTAGCCTTTAGTGATGTGTGTCATATGGGGTACATCAGTTAGGGTTTGGTTTATGTTTCCAACTCACAATAGTTAATCATCACTTCAGTTTCTGACATGGTATCACCTAGATTAGGATCCTGTAGGATCCCTTTCCTCCCCCTAACGCCCGTAACACTCTACCGTTGCACCCGTACCATCCCCTAGCGCATGTCGCGCTTGCCTGTCCCGTCCCGTCGTGTCGCCCCTGCCGGTCGCGTCGCGCTCGTCTGTCCAGTCTCGTCGCGTCGCGTCTGCCCGTCCCGTCCGTCGCTTTGCGTCGCGCCTATCCCGTCCTGTCCCCGCCCGTCACGCCCTGCGCCCTGCCCTGCCCGTGCGCCCGTCCGCTCACGTTACGCCCTGCCCGTCCGCGCACGTTGCGCCCTGCTCGTCCGCGCCTGTTATGCCCTGCCCGTCACGCCCGTTGCGCCCTGCCCATCGCGCCTACTGCGCCCTGCCCGTCCGCGCCTGTCGTGCCCTGCCCGTCGCGCCCGTTGTGCCCTGCCCATCCGCACCTTTTGCGCCTTGCCCGTCGTGCCCTGCGCCCTGCGCCCTGCCCGTCCGGTCGCACCGCACCTGCCCTTTCCGTCGCGTCGTGCCCGTCCCATTACGTCCCTACCTTCTCGTTCCGTACCGCACTGCTTGCCACGCCCTACTTCCGCTATGGCGACGCCTAGAGTCTTCCGTTTTGACGCCGAGGGTAGGCCGCTCGAGTTCTTTGTCTGGCTCCTGCGTGCGCAGCGCCTCCTAGAGAGTCAGGTTCAGGCAGACAAGTCCCACTGGTCGCACGCTTCCGGTGACCTCCATGCGCCCCCCGATCCTGATTCCTTAGGCGCTGACGCCACCACTGCGGACAAAGATCGTGTTGCACGTCAGCGTGCTTCGCTGACAGCCTGGAGGTCGCGCGATGCTGCGGCCTGCATCGCCCTTAGCAGCCTTCTCCCTGAGTTTGAGGAGACCCACTTCACCCAGGTTCGCACAGCTAGTGAGTTCCTGACAGCGATCAAGGCCCGCTACGCTACTCCCATCACTGTCTCTCTCGGTCGCCTGTTCCTCCCCTTCCTGTTTCCTGACCTCGCCTCGTTTGAGCGCTCTGCTGACTTGATCGCTCACGTGCGTTCACTGGATTCTAGCTACCGCGCTGCCTGCACTGACGCACAGCTTGCACTGCTCCCACCCCATGGCAATTACTATCTATTTTATCGCCACTAGCCTCCCTGACCGCCTTGCCTCGGTTCGTGACGCGCTTCTTCTGAAGCACCCTAGCGAGCTCACTATCGGCGTTCTTGAGTGTGCCCTCAAGGACGTTGAGAGCAACCTCCACTCAGTAACCTTCGCCTCTAGTGCTGTGCCCCCGCCACTGTTCCACGGGTGCACTATCCCACAGCTGCCCACCTTTACTGCCTCCCTCGCCACTGCCGCTACTCACGTGACCGCAACTGCTGTTACGACTTCTGCGCGGTCTATAGCTAGGAGTGGCAGGAGGGGCGGCTAGGGTGCGGGCGGCAGCGGAGGCGGTGGAGGTGGCATTGCGGGCGGCGGTGGTGGGAGTGCAGGAGTTGGTGGAGTGCCTGGTGCCGCGTCTAGTGACTCCTCTACTGCAACTAGTGAAGGTGCCACTCGGGTTAGTCGTGCACCTGCAAGACTGCCAGCTGCGGGTGCTGGAGTGGCGGCTTGGTACCTGGCTCAGTGACATCAGCAGTAGCAGCAGCCACTCCTCTCGCAGCAGCCACGGCAGCAGCAGGAATCAGGACCGCGTTAGCTGTCGCGTGGTGACACCCACCCTCCTTTCCCCTATCATTTAGACAGGTACTCGCAGTGGCTTCCGCTGTGACCGCCGCCATCTACCGGGTCAGTGCTTTGCTCAGCTCACTCACACTACGGCGTCAACAGCCCTGCCCCTGACTAGCTTCCTCTTGTGCGCGGTGCCGCTTTGTGAGCAATGTTTGCTTCTGAGTTGCTTGATCTCTTAGGAACTCCTCATCCTATGTATGATATTGTCGACTGTAGTGCCTGTGACTCTATTTACTTGCGTGTTTTTAGCTTAGGTGCTAGTGTTGATCTTGTGTCAGTTGCTAGTGTAGGTACTTGCTTAGGTACTAGTCCAGGTGCTGCTCCGGAGGACGCTTCGCTGTCTTTCACCCTGGACTCCAGAGCTTCGCACTGTTTCTTCCGTGACCACACGACTCTTACTCCGCTTCCTGCGCCGGTCTCCGTAGCACTAGTTGATCCCACATCGGGGCCAGTCACTGCTCGCTACTCTACTACGCTTTCGTGCCCGGGTGTTCCCTCGGGTTTCCTAACCGACTTTCACGTCTTCTCGTTCTCCATGAACTTGGTGGGTGTGAGGCCGCTCGTGGGTAGTCACGTGGGTGTTTGGTTTGAGCCTTCTGGGGACTTTCCGACCTGTGTAGATGGTGACACTGGCCACCTTTCACGTTGAGATAGGCTCTGGTCTCTATACACTCCACACCGACCCCCGAGAGAGGCAGCGGCAGCAGCAGCTGCTGCCTCCGACCCCTGTCACTGCCCCCCGTCAGGTCCCCGCATCTCACCATGTTGCTGCCTCCCACCAGGTAGTTGTGTCTGGTCAGGTTCTAGCGTCTAGTCTGCTTGATGCGTCTTTTTCGTATCGGTCGCTTGCCCACCCCACTGTTCTGTACGACCACCGCCTTGGTCACGCGTTCATTCCTCGCCTGCGCACTATGTCTAGTCAGCGTCTCGTCTTAGGCCTCCTGCGAGTCTTGTCGTTGCTGCCGCCTTGGCTTGCACCACCTTACGCCCCTTGCGTCGAGGGTCGGCTGCGCGCCAGCCCTCACTCCTCCTCCCTTCGTCTGGCCACCGAGCCCTTCGAGGCTCTCCACTTGGACGTCTGGGGCCCCGCCTCTCACCCTGGCCCTGAGCGAGAGAGTTTCTTTCTGGTGGTTGTTGACGACTACTCTTGCTACACCACCGTGTTTCCTGTGGCAAAGAAGTCCGACGTGACTTCTACGCTGATCCGGTGGTTACTAACCACTGAGGGCACTCGTGGCCGTCGCGTCAGTTGTCTCTCCGACCGTGGGAGTGAATTTTGCTCCAGCGTTTTCGCCAAATTCTGTTGCAAAAAGGGCATCCGTCACTCTTCGATGCTTCTAGAGTCCCCACAGCAGAATGGGGTTGCTGAGCGTCGCATAGTATTGGTCATGGATATCGCACGCACCTCCATGATTCATGCCCGTGCGTCCGATTTTCTGTGGCCCTTCGCGGTTCGGTACCCCGCTCACCAATTGAACCTCTGGCCACGTGTCTCTCGGCCAGGGGCTTCACCGACCAATCTTTGGACCGGGTCCCCTGGTGATGCGTTGCGCTTTCGTGTCTGGGGCTGATTGGCACGTGCTCGCGACACCTCCACGGACAAGAACTCGCCTCGTGCCATTCCCTGTGTCTTCCTTGGTTTCCCCGAGGACTCGTTTGACTTCACATTTTACCTCTCTCCCCTTCACCAGTTCTTTGACTCCCGTGACATCCGAGCCAGTCCCCTAATACACCCGGTACCCCTGTCGAGGTCTCCCGGATCCTCCTCTCCCTCTCTTCCTGACTCCCACTCCCCCTTCGGCTCCTCAGGTACAGCCTCCCCCCCTGGTCCAGCCCTGACAGGTGTGTCACACGCTATCCCCCCCCCCCCCCTCGGTAGCCCCTCAGGTCTCGTCCCCTTCTCTGCAGTGCTCCTCGGAGTCTCCGCAGCAGCCGTTAGCACTTCCTCCGGAGGCTGCTGCAGACCGTGAGGGTGCTAGTGTCCGTAGCGCGGACCCTAAAGGTGCTACCTCCGGAGGTGTTGGCGTTGGAGCTAAGAGTGTGCCTACACGAGGTTCTTGTGTTGGGGGTGCTGGAGCTGGAGCTAAGCC